GCAGGGCTCTGGGGCACCTCTGACAGCCCACCACGGGGCGCGGGGGCCAGGACCCTGCCTGCGAGGCGCACGCACATGCAGCAGGGCTTTCTGTGTGTGTGTGTGTGTGTGTGTGTGTGTGTGTGAATTAGTCTTTCTTTGGGCATGCTTCCTTTTTGTCTCTGTTTTGAAATTTATTTCAAGGTTCTTTACATCCGACAATAATTTGTGTGTTTCAAATAATTGTTTTGTAAATAAGAGACTTTAATGTCCCTAAGAAAATTTGAACCCCTTCATGTGCTATTGTGAAATTAATACCAATTAGTATTTGAACTTTAAAGTTAAATGTGTATTAAAAATTTACAGGAAGAGTAAAATGAAAATCTAACTTCCTAATATGAAAAAGAATGATGAAAAATCTGAGTACCTTATTTTAGTAAACTTTAAGGTGGTTAAAGAAACAGAAATTCGACAGGTATTATGTACTCAACTATTTAGTATGCTCAACCTCACTGTTTTGAATATTCAGAGCTAATCTATACTTCTCTATTTAATTTTTAAAAGTCTGATTAAATTAGATATTTATATTTTTTTACTCACTGAGTAGATCATTGTATCTATTTGCATAAAGATATAAACTTTTAGTAAAAGGATAAGTATTATATATAATGAAAAAAAAAAGCAACAAGATTGGGGTCCAAGGTACACCTCAGTGGTAGAGCATGTTCTTGCCATGTTCAGGGCTCTAGTTCCAATCTCAAAACCAAAAAAAAAATTAAAAAGATAATATATTGAATAATACTTATACTTTTATTAAAATTTTTTAAATGATCATGATAAAATATTAAATGACAAAACATGTTGTGTACTTAGAGATATTAATGTAAATTCAATGCAACATAAATGAAATAGAAATTTAATAATCATTGTAATAAAAAGTTGTGTTTTTTATAGGTTGTAAAGCATCTTTTAAATTGTTTTCAGGTTTGTCATCTACCTAAAATTCCTTAAAGCCCAAGATCAGCTAGTTTCAATCCACTAAATCATAGCCATTTTGTAATTGCTCAGTCGTAGACATCAAAGCTCTTGTTGTAGAATTTTCAAGATGAAAACCTGACTTTATCAAAGAGAGATCATTAGATTAATTGTCTATAAAACATGTTTAAAATCAATCCAATTTTGAAAATAAAATATTTTATACACATTTGTCTGCACTACACTCGCATAAGCTGACCTGTTGTCATATTTCAGGTCAGTACAATGTGATGGGGTTTTTTTGTTGTTGTTTTTGTTTTGGTACCAGGAATTGAAACCATGGAATTTAACCACTGAGCCACATCCACAGCCCATTTTATGTTTTATTTTGAGACAGGACCTCACTAAGTTCCGGAGGCTGGACTCAAATTTGCCATCTTCCTGCCTTGGCCTCTGCAGTGGCTGGGATTACAGGAGTGTGCCACCACAC